ACTATGTCAATCGTATTACCTTTTGGAACTTTCAACCCATTAGACCTAGAAATAGCATCTCGAGGAATCCGACAATCATGTGCCGATCCCTCCCAGCCGGGTAAGACATATGTAAATTCCATCTCAGGTGAGCATACTCCTAGAACATTCATAGCAATGGTGCCTTTTCTAGTGCGATATTTGGGTCGATCATCACAAGGAACATTAACTAGAATCATTGTACCATCAAGGGCACCTAAACAATTCTACAAAAAAAAAACAATATTACTCTCATTTATGTATACTAGTCTCTCTCTTTATTTATCTCAAATTAAAGTGTTGGTTTTGTTAATTTACCTTGAAATATTTCCACCTTTCATCGTCACAATCCTCTCGTATTGGAGTTGGTTTCTTAAGAAGAACAACATGTAACTTTAAGATTGCTAACAAACAAGCATGAAATTGTCTACTAATAGTTTCACCACTTCAATAAAAGTGAGCACCCATCATTCTATTTTTCTTATGGTGAGCTAATGTGTATAAGAAACCCGCAACCATCTCTTCCAAACATGTGTTTCTAGTTTCATTTAATCCGCCAATATCTCTAACCATTTCTAAAAGTACACCAAATGTGAATCGATTTATACGAAGAAAGTTCCTACACAAAGTGTCACTTTCTTTAATCATTCTATTCAAATTGTGCAATCTCATTTTTCTTCTAGTTTTTTTATCTAGCTTTAGAGAATGAGAATTGTATATAGTTTTTCTCATTGTGTACCATATCAAATGTAGCAACACAACACAATTAATCATAGTAATTATGAAACGAATAAAGTCCCAATTTCTCTTCCTTTTCAAAGAAGTACCAATTCGAGCCATTTTCTGTAGAAAAGAAAATCAACAACACCATATCATTGACAAGTTTCAACCTAAACCAATATATACATGTATATACATATGAATTCAATATTGTACAACACATACTACAATACATCTCAACAATTCAAGAAGAGGAGGAGAAATCAGAGGAGAAATCGAGAGGAGAAACTGAAGAAGAGGAAATATAATGAGAGGAGAAACTGAAGAAGAGGATATATACTGAGAGGAGAAACTGTGCAATCTCATTTTTCGAGAGGAGAAACTGAAGAAGCCCCCTTATTACTGATCGAGAGGAGAAACTGAAGAAGAGGATATATACATGAGAAATTCTAAAATTTGCATTCTAAAACCCTAGAAAATTGGGGGAAATCAGAGGAGAAATCGAGAAGAGAAACTGAAGAAGAGGAGAAATCGAATTCGTTTCCAAGAAGGCTAAATTAGGGTATTATAATGAAATTTAAAATCAATCTAAAGATCAAATCTACCTTGAACAAACACGAAAATAGCGAATTACCTTGAACAAGCTGACGGTGGTGGTCGCTGACGGTGCTCGCAGAAGAGGGGTGCTCAGAGAGAGGAGATGAAGAAGTGGGTCGCAGAGGGGTGCTCAGAGAGAGGAGATGAAGAAGTGGGTCGCAGAAGAGGGGAATGGGAATGCAAAAGTCAAGGGGGGGGGTAAGGAATGAGATTAGAGGGATTTTAGGTAAAGTGAAAAATAAAAAAGGGTAAAGGGAATGATTGAAATGGAAAAACAAACGACAAGAAACGGAATCATTCCCATTCCGTTTCCTGAAACCCCCCAACCAAACGCCCCCTTATTTTGCTTTTTCTACGGAGTATTTTGGAATTTGGTTGTTTATGGATGTTTATTGTAAAGAAACAATGAAATAATATCAATTCAAATTATTGTCTCTCGTATATGTTAATTTCACACTTGTAGTTGTATATGTTAATATAATTTCATATTTAAAAAAATTAAAATTGAATATTTTAAATAATATAATAAATGATACCTATTAATTAATAAAGTGTTACATTAATTTGCAAAAGGTGATACATAATGTCTAATAAAGTGCTACTATATGTCAAAAGATATTAAAAAATGTTACCTAATAATCACCAAAGTGTTGCATTAGTTCGAAAATGTAATATTCTGAAAAATTCCTTCTTTTAAAAATATTAATTTTACTATAAATAAAATCTTTTTTAGGAAATAACCAAAATATTACCGTCACCGTGATAATGGCTAAGGCTAATTTTCAAAGCCTCACACCGGAAGTCTAAAAATAAAAACCAACTTTCAAAAATAAAACATGAGTTCACAACCTCAAAACATATGTAGAATAAAACATTTACAAGTTTGAACCAATTTAAACATGACCCTTTTTAAAAATCAATTAAAAATAAACACGATAACGTTAGTCCATAAACAAACCAATAATTCAAAAATATCAAACTATGAAACATAACAAGTAACTCTCTGCACTCTTTCCCATCATGCTCTTCATACTTCAAGGACTTGTTACTTTCTCTTTATTTTAACCCTCTACTCACCATATAAATGGGTCATAGTAGGACCGATCCAAAAGAAAGCCAAACACAAACACAAAAGTACGAATCAGCAAAAGGTGAGTACATATGCACCACACTAACATGAATATCCTAGCATCAAAATAATATAATTAAAACGTGCTCGCCATGTAATCACAAGTCAACTTACCTTTGACTCATAACTAGCAATATTAATTATTAATAATAATTTTTGGATTATGTATCGAACGAGTTTCCTTCCTTAAAAATAACCCATTTAAATAATGAGTTTCCAATCAGGGAGCTACCCCAATTGGCCCCTGCTATGTCACACATATGACGAAATTCCAGGGCATAAATAATAAAAGAAAGTAAAACGTCCTATACCCCTGTAGAAGCTATGGTTAAATATAAAACCCCATAACTCCCACCATATGTTCATACTCCAGGTATATACACTCCAAGAGTTTTGGTGCGTATCCTCTTACACTTTACATGATTTACCAGTTTAACTTGTGATGACTCCAACCAATTAATCAAGAACAAACATAATAACAATCAACATGTACTTCCATTTAATTCTTGAATTAAGTAGTGAGCACATACTATTTATTTAATTAGGGTTCCTTGCCTAGTTTTGTGCACAAAATTGCATGATTACTACCTTGGTGCATAAAATGCACTACTAAACTTCCTTGACTCAAACTCAACTTATATGTGCGAGTAAATAAATAAATTAACTTCTTGACTCAACACCAATAATAAATGGGTGAGAAATAAATTCATGAATCATGCTCAATAATTCTAGCTTTAGATCTTTAATTCATATATAAGTCTTGCTTATTAAATACATGCCTTCTTGATACTTGAAAATAAAACATACTTCCATGATTTATACATATTCAACCTGTATCATGCCTTAAATAACATATTCACATGCTTGCATAACAATTTATGCTCAATCAACATCAATTCCAAGCATATAATCAACAAAAATGCTACTAGTTCATCACATAAATCATACTTTACAATCCTAGCATGATACTAAGCATATGCAAATATTCTTCTGCACATACGTACCTTGAATAATGCATAAACTCGGCCACACTATCTAGAAATCACCTAACTCGAAGCTTCCTACAAATAAGAATACATAACTATAATTAATCTACTATTCTCAAAAATTTCCAGCAACTGTAATACACTTTGAACCTTAATAATCCACCCAATTTAATGACATAAAAGCCATAACCTTTTCTTTAAGTGGGTACTTCAAATCCTTTAAAAAAAAACTAAGTTTTTATGACTTAGAATAAAATTCCAGCATACTTATTTAATATAAAACATCACTAATAGACTAGGAAATCATATTTAAATCATTAAAACCTTTTTCCCTTTTATGGGTAAACAAAACCCTAACTCAATAATTAAAAAAGTAGTGTGCATAAATAAATTACAACATTAATTTGAGGGCTTTAAACTCATTAAAAACATGTTTAAACCATTAATTAAACAACAACAACAACCTAGGGTCAAACCCTTACCATAAACAATAAATTCTCAAATTCTAGTGTTTGTAAATTCGGGTTTTTATTGAATTAAAATCGGATAATTATATGAATAATATAACAACATCAAATACCCAAAATTAACACTAAAACACAATCAAAATCATGATTTAAAAATAAAAAAACAGTAGAATTAAATTAAGAAGAGAAAAGAGTTTTTATTTTTATTTTTATTTTTTTAGGTACCAAACCACAAAAGAGGGGGAAGGAGGAGAGAGAACCGGTGGCCTGCTGGTGGCGCCGGCTGTTGCTGCTGGTCGCTGGTGACCAGTGGTCGGTGGTGGCGCCGGTGGGAGAGAAAAAGAGGAGAGAGAGGCGTGGGAAAACAGAGAAAAATAGAGGAAAAAGAAAGAGAAAAAGGAGAGAGAAAATAATGAGAAAAGTTTTGGGATTTTTGTGAAATCTGATAATTATGATTTTTGAGTGAAAAATCTTGAGGTTTTGAAGTATTTATATTCCCTTTTTAAAACAAAAACTCATGATTACAAAACTGCCATTACTAAATCCTACTCCCCCTTAACTTTTTCCTTTGGGGCCAACTTGTTAGGCTAACAAGTTAATCCAACTATTTAAATAAAGATGACCTAATTCAAAACACTTTTATTGCCTCAATTAATGACTCATATTATTTTATACACACTTACATAATATCTAAATAATTAATTTCTCTTAAAATGAAATGAATTATTTTGATTTATAAAAATAAATAAAATAAATAATTTATATATATAAAATAATTATAAAAATACGGAGTATTACAGTCTACCCCCCTTAAAAGAAGTTTCGTCCTCGAAACTTGAGCACGAAAATCATAAAACTTATTTAAAACTGTACTTTTTCGCCCACTTAGTAAAAGCTTTTCTTAATACTTATAGTTGTACTTTTTGTAACCTTTCTTGTTCTATTTCTTTCTAAACTTTGTATATAATTGTGTAAAGTATACTAAAAATGCACAAAAATGCTTGAAAATAAGGTAAAAAACGCGAAATTTTAGCGCATTCTACCCCCTTAAAGAAACGAGTTACCTCCCCGTAACTCAACAGATCAACTAACCTCAAACAATTCTTGGTACTTCTTTCTCATTTCATCCTCAGCTTCCCGTGTCACTTCCTCAGTTTCTTGATTCGACCACAAAACCTTTACTATCTTGACATCTTTCTTGCGTGTACTATTAACTTTACTATCAAGAATCCTTACAGGTTTTTCCTCATAGGTTAGGCTTTGGTCTAGTTCTACGGTTTCAGGTTGTAGGACATGTGACTTGTCTGGGATGTACCTTCTCAATTGAAAAACATGAAACACATCGTGTACCTTGCTGAGGTCCACAGGCAATGCCAATCTATAAGCAACATTTCCTATTCTTTGCAAAATCTCATATGCTCCAATGTACTTTAGACTCCTCCCTTTCTTCCAAAATCTCATTACTCCTTTCATTGGTGATACCTTGAGCAAAACCTTGTCACCAACTTGAAATTCCTCTTCTCTACGCTTTAAATCTGCGTAGCTCTTTTGTCTATCTTGAGCAGCTTGAATCTTAGCTTGGATTTCTCGCACTTGCTTCGTTGTTTCTTCTATCAATTGAGGACCTAGAATTATTGTTTCACTTATGTCACTCCAACATAGTGGACTCCTACACTTCCTTCCATACAAGGCCTCAAATGGTGCCATGCCAATGCTTGCATGGTAACTATTATTGTAAGAGAATTCTACCAAGTCCTAGCTATCTTCCCATCTACCTTACTAACCTAACACACATGATCTTAACATATCTTCCAAGGTTTGGATAGTTCTTCAGATTGTCCATCTATCGCAGGGTGAAATGTTGTACTCATCTTCAATGTCGTACCAAAATTCTCTTGAACACTTTTCCAGAATTTCGAAAGAAACCTAGAATCCCTATCAGAAACGATATCCTTAGGAATTCCATGTAGCCTCATAATATTCTTGATGTAAGCCTTTGCAAGTTGTTCCATTTTCCAAGTCTCTTTCATTGGTATAGTATAAACACTGCCGATTTGGTAAGTCTATCCACCACAACCCAGATGGTATCATTCCCATTCTTAGACTTAGGTAAACTAGTGACAAAATCCATCGAGATGCAATCTCACTTCCAAGCCAGGATCTCAAGTGGTTGTACTGTTCCCTGTGGCCTCTTATGCTCTATCTTCACTTTCTAACAGATTAGACATTTGGCTACAAAATCTGCTACTTCCTTCTTTATCTTAGGTCACCAATACACCTTTATCAAGTCCTTGTAAAGCTTATCTCCTCCTAGATGTATTGAATAGGGTGTATTATGCCCTTCTTCCATCAACTTCTTCTTCAATTCCTCACATTTTTGTGGTACACACCACCTCCCCTTAAATCGAATACTCCCATCATCATTGATTTTGAAATCAGACGCCTTTCCTTGCTTGATCTTCTCCCTTATGCGATCTAATTTCACATCTCCTACTTGGTTATCCTTAATCTCCTCGAATATCGTTGGTTAGATACTCAAATTATTAAGCATTCCTTCCGACTTTCCATGTGGTACTACCTCGAGGTTCAACTTACTCATTTCCTTACAAAGTTCATCTGCCACTACCAAAGCGTTCACCCCATGAGTTGCTTTACGGCTTAAAGCATCCGCGACAACATTCGCTTTACCCTCGTGGTATTGGATATCTATTTTATAGTAATTGAAGAATTCTAGCCACTTACGTTGTCTCATGTTCAAAGTTGATTGCATGAAAGATACTTCAAACTTTTATGGTCAGTGAATATCCTACATTTCACTCCATATAAATAATTTCTCCATATTTTCAACGCAAACACTATCACTGTCAATTCTAGATCATGAGTAGGGTAGTTAACTTCATATTTCTTCAATTGTCTCGATGCATAAGCAATCACCTTCCCATTTTGCATCAAAACACACCCAAGTCCATTCTTAGATGCATCACTATATACATCATAAGAACCACTCCAATCAGGTAAAGTCAACAGTGGTGCTGTAGTCAAACTACTCTTCTTCAAGGTTTGAAACGCTTCCTCACACTTATCGCTCTAAATGAACTTAGATTCTTTCTTCATCAACGAAGTCATGGGTCTAGCTATCTTTAAAAAATTCTTCACAAACCGCCTATAATATCCAGCTAGGCCTAAGAAGCTTCAAATATCCGACACATTTTTAGGAGTAGGCCACTCATTCACAGCTTCAATCTTTGCATGATCTACCTCCACTTCTTCCTTAAATATAAAATGTCCCAGAAATGCTACCTTCTCCAGCCAAAACTCACACTTCAAGAATTTGGCATACAACTGGTTAGTCCTTAAAGTAGCTAATACTAATCTCAAATGCTCTGCATGGTCCTCTTCATTCTTTGAATAAACCAAAATGTCATCAATAAATACCATGACGAATTGGTCTAGGAAAGGTTGAAACACTTTATTCATCAAGTCCATAAAAATTACGGGTGTATTTGTCAACCCAAAAGGCATTACTGTAAACTCATAGTGTCCATATCTCGTCCTAAATGCCGTTTTCGGAATGTCCTCTTCCGCAATCCGTAGTTGATGACATCCAGACCTCAAATCAATCTTAGAAAACACTGCTGCACCTTTCAATTGGTCAAATAAGTCATCTATCCTAGGCAAAGGTATTTTTTCTTTATGGCTACCACCTTTAACTCCCTATAATCGATGCATAGCCTCATGCTACCTTCTTTCTTCTTCACAAACAATATAGAAGCTCCCCATGGTGATGCACTTGGTCATATGTATCCCTTCTCCAACAAATCCTGTGATTGACTTTTCAATTCACTCATATCAGTAGGAACCATCCTATATGATGCCTTAGAGATAGGTGCGGTTCCAGGTACTAAGTCTATGGTTCTTTTTGGCGGCATACTTGGAATCTCTTTAGGAAACACATCTAGAAACTCCCTTACTATTTCAGTATCCTCTAGTTTAGATGGTTCCTCATACTCCAAGTTTCTCACACTATAGAAATAGATTAGGTTTCCCTTCTTCATATATTTTGCCAACTTCACCACAAAAATGATCTTAGTATGCTTGGGTTTTCCATGCCTCCAATGGGTTACGATCTCTCCTTGAGTCGTTTTCAAGTGGATTTTTTGTGTCTGGCATCGAATCTCAGCATGATAACGACATAACCAATCCATTCCCGGAATTATTTCAAGGTATCCTAATTAAAATTCAATCAGGTTGGATAGGAATTCCTTACCTTTAATCTTTATGGGAACATCCTTATAGACCCTAGTACAATGACCTACACCCCCATTTGGAAGTTCTATAGGAATATCTATGTCTTCTACAACTTTCAGACAATGCGATAGTTTTGGAAGCATAGCTTTAGAAATGAAAAAATATGTTGCACCAAAATCAAACAAAACTTTAACAGAAACTGAGTTTATAGAACAAGTACCGGTAATGACATCTCTCGCTACGTCAGCCTCACGCGAACCCATCACAATAAGCTTTCCCGGTGTTCCACCCTTGACTTGTGTGTTACCACTATTGGTATTCTTATTTCCATTCTGAAACTGCGTCCCCTTGTTCACTTGATTCCCATTACTCCCTTGACCTCCTTTCTGCTGATTCCAATTTTGTCCACTACCCTTAAATTAGTTGTTTCCTTGACCCCCTTTATTCTTGGAGAAACACTCATATGCCCTGTGCCCTTGTGTCACGGTCCGAGAGTTTTGACACTGGATCGTGCGGCGCGCACTTATCTATTGACGACAAGGACGCAAGCCTAGAGCGAAGGGAGTTGGTGGCACACAGCAGCACGGACCAAAGGTATCTCTACGAAGCACTCGTCAACAACGAGTGCTGAGTCGGGGCTTGTGACGGCCGATATTTCGAAGCGGGCACAAGCGGGACCGACGATAAGGAAGGCATCTTTTGAGGTTCTCTTGGTTTGGTGGGGAGGCTTTAAAACAAGGCAAGCACAATATCTATAAAGGCTTAAATTAACACACAAGTCTTAAAGTAAAGGAAACCCGGATAGGAGCTTTCATTCATTCAACCATTCGCCCCATAAAGAGCTTTATATTGATTACATGGAGAAATACTAGTGAACGCTGAAACTACAGTAACACAATAATTTCCCCTAGAGCCTAGAAAACAAAAAGAAAGGCTTAGAAGACACTACATAAGGAAAATACAAGGAAAAAGGAAGGGGGATACATAGAGAAAGAGGCGGATTCTAACACCTTGCTTATTGCACAAGTTACAAGTGACTAAGTTACCCTCACAGTCTTTCCCTGGGTGGTTGTTGGAGCATCTCTTACAGTAATATATCCTCTGGTTACGATCTCCAGGTTGGTTCCTATTTCCCTTAGGAAAATTGCGCCCAACTTGGTTGTTCCTATTGTTCTGGATGTTATTACCTTGGTGGTTGTTAAACTTTTGCTTCTTAAAGTTATTCTGGTTCCCTAGACAGTCTAAAATTAGTCATAGGCTCCTTTCTTTTCTCCCTAGCTTCCAACTTATCCTTTTTAGCTTTCTCCTTCAATTCTAACGCATGTAAATGCACTGCCCCTACCATACAACTCATCCAAATTGTAAAACACTTGTCCTGACAATTTTCTTTGGAGAGAAAGAGGCAATCCCCTCTCAAACCTTCTAGCTTTCTACCTATCAGTAGCCACAGTACCTTCAGTAAACCTAGACAGCTCAATAAACTTAGTGTAATACTCAGTTACCGACATACTCCCCATCTTAAGTTCCAGGAACTCATCAGCTTTCTGCTTCTGCAAGAATATAGGGTAGAACTTATCCCTCACTTGCTCCTTGAACACATTCCATCTAAATTTAGGTAATGCTCTCACAGCTTGTTCATTCTACTGCCACTTCAGATCTGCTTCATCCCTTAAGTAATAAGCTGTTATACTCACTTTGGACTCATTAGGACATGCTATTACCACAAACAACTTGTCAAACTCTCTCAGCCAGTTTTCAAGGACAGTTGGGTTAGGTTCTCCCTGGTAGGTAGGAGGTTTTCTTTGGGCTATCTGCTTAAACAACTCCCCAGCAAGGTCAGGATTGTTATTATTATTCCTTTCAGCTAACTGTTGAGCTACAATAGCTAATTGCCTTACTACCTCATTCATATCATTGTTATTGTTGTTTCTCCCGGCCATCCTAGTCCTCCTGAATAAAGAAATGACTATTATTAGGTTGGTCACAACTTTCTCGTAACTAAACAACAACCAAACTACTTTAATTCAAGCATACAAGTAATCATTTTGAATTATAGTAGAAGCAACGAACTACTCATTTCTCCTACTAATAATTCAACATATTGTTTTGGTTGTCATGCAACCATTTCACTTAGATTAATACATCACAAAAATATTTTTGAGTCATTTCCCTTGGTACCATTTACAAAAAATAAACGTAATAAATGACGTTTGATAAGGTTGTTTGAAGATGGAAATATATATTAAAAGAATAAATAATACTTTATTGAAATACTGAAAAGAAATGTATGGAATATCCCAAATGTAGCTTTGCTACTTATTACTCACGCAGTACTTTATTAAATTGTAACTATGAATGAAGAATGAAATAAATACTCAAAACACTAAGGAAAGTTAGTCTAAAATCTTCAAATGTTGGCATTGTCAATCTTGTCTTTTATCTGCTTGTACTTCTTTGGA